AGTTTCAGTGTTATTTTCAGTTAAATTCCGGGTCAGATTCAGTTCAGTTAATTAGTATCAGTTCAGTTCCGTACTTAGCCGATCTCAGTTATATCGATTAAGTCCGAATATCATGTTAGACTCGAGAAAGCATCTTAACATAATTAATCAGTTAATTTATCAGTCTGAGCATAGTCAATAGTAATTGTTTATATTATTTTCAGTTTGATCAGGCATCAGCACTCCCCTTCAGTTTTTAAATTCAGCAAATTCAGGTGGGGACTCAGACTAAGTATTTACATGGTTTATAATCACGTTACCATGGTCGAGGTATGTATTCAGGTCCGCTCGGAATGGTCGCCGGTCCATTCTGAGTTCTAGTGGCCCTAGTCTGCCCACTAGAGTGTGCACATGGCGTCCGGCTTTGCCGGCAGATGTTCAGTTTCAGTTCAGATGTGACTTATGTCACGACGTGACTTCGGTCGCGAGATTCAGTTATCAGTTACGTGACTTATGTCGCGAGATCAGACCGGTTATATCAGATTATCAGTTTCAGTTCAGTTGTATATACTCAGCTCATGATCATGTTATTATTTACAATGTTGTACATTAGCATGAGTTTCTGCGGAGCACAGTGCCTTAGTGCTCACGCCCCACATTTTCATGATTTTCAGGTCGCAGGGTCTGTGATGAGGAGTGAGCGGGCGAGCTGTTCAGGATATTTGTGTTTTGATGTACTTGATGTTGGATGTTAAAACTTTTCAGAACTTTTATCAGACTTTCATGTTATTGCCACGCTAAGACTTCCGCTAAAAACCTTCAGACTTTGTTCCGACATAAGTCGGATAATAAATTAAACCGTTTTATGTATCAGTTTTAAATTCTAACGTTTTTCAGAAGTCATGTTTTTCATGGTAACCCCCGAATCAGTTTCGCAAATTAAAAAGTTAGTTTATTTATTTATTTATTCAGAAAATTTGCGAAAAACCGCGTACTCTGGTGTATTAGAAAGTCGGGGTGTTACATTGTGAAAACTCCAATACGTCATTTCATTGATTAACAGGCGAAGAAGCTCATTACATTGATGCTAGCGAGTTGCTCTATGTATGAAAAGAAAAATTTTAAGCATAATACTTCTTCAAGTTAGCTATATTCCATGACCTGGCTAGAGATCTTCCTTCTGCATCCTTTAAAGAGTATGCCCCTCCAGTATGGACTTTTTCGACAAAGTATGGTCCTTCCCAGTTCAGCTCTAATTTACCGACATGTTTCAACACATTGACACTTTTCCATACTAAGTCGCCCACCTCGAATCTTCGTGTTTTCACTTTTCTATCATGCGCTGCTCGCATTCTTTGTTTGTACGCCTCGACTCTGATTGTTGCCTTCTCTCGAAGCTCTTCGATTGTGTCGAGCACTGCCACAATCAAATTTTCATTATGTTCTCGATCATACGTGCTCGATCTTTGGGACTGAACCTCGACCTCTATCGGCAACAAAGCTTCCATGTTGTATACCATACTGAACGGTGTTTCCCCAGTGGTTGATCGGCGCGTTGTTCTGTACGCCCATAGCACCGAAGTAAGTTCATCCACCCACGCTCCCGATTCCTTTTCCAACCTTGTTTTCAGACCGTTCAATATAATTCTGTTGGTCACTTCGGTCTGCCCGTTGGCCTGCGGGTGTGCGACTGAAGTGAAGTGTTGATCAATTTTCATGTCCTCGTACCATGTCGGGATCCGCTTGCCATTGAACTGGGTCCCGTTGTCTGACACCAACACTTTATGAACTCCGAACCTGCAACATATGTTATCGTATAGAAAATGTATCACTTTCTCCTCCGTGATCTTTGCTAGAGGTTCAGCCTCCACCCACTTTGTGAAGTAATCGACCGCGACAATCAAGAACTTTCTCTTTCCAGTTCCTTGTGGCATGGGCCCAACCAGGTCGACCCCCCATTGGGCGAACGGTATGGGAGAACTCATCGTTGTCATAGCTTTGGCCGGTTGGTGAATAAGTGGGCCGTGTTTCTGGCATTGCAAACATTTACGCACCATCTCTTTTGCATCTTCTCTCATCGTTAGCCAGATATATCTTGCTCTTAGAGCCTTTGCTACCAGGGAACCTGCCTTGCTGTGGTCGCTGCAACAGCCCTCGTGAATTCCTTCAACACATATCACCCTTCTTCTCCAGTTACACATCGCAAGTGGGGGCCCGCGTGCGACCTCTTGTAGAGAATCCCTCCGTGCTCAAAAAATATCCTTATCACTTTAACGGCTCCTTCCTTCAATTCTTTTATTATCAGTGCCTTCAATCCTCGACTTCCTCTATCTCGACCACCTCCTCCATGTGTAGCAAGGTCACACTGCTGCTCTTGCAGTCCACCAGACTTTGTGCCACTTTAGCTAACAGATCCGCTCGACCATTT